CTTCTTCTCTCCTCTCCTCTTTTCTCTCTCTCTCCTCTCCTCTCCTCTCCCCTCTCTCCTGTCCTCTCTCCTCTCCCTTCTCTCCTCTTATCTCTCCTCTCTTCTCTTGTCTCCCCTCTCTCCCCTCCTCTCTCCACTCCTCTCTCTCCTTTCCTCTCTCCTGTCCCCTCTCCGCTCTCCCCTCTCCTCTCTCTCTCTAGAGTTCGGTCTCTACAGTATAAATGGGGATCAGGAGGAGCGCTGGGGGTTCAGAGAGGTGTGCTCTGTGAGGGAGGTGTGCTCTGTGAGGGAGGTGTGCTCTGTGAGGGAGGTGTGCTCTGTGAGGGAGGTGTGCTCTGTGAGGGAGGTGTGCTCTGTGAGGGGGGTGTGCTCTGTGAGGGAGGTGTGCTCTGTGAGGGAGGTGTGCTCTGTGAGGGAGGTGTGCTCTGTGAGGGAGGTGTGCTCTGTGAGGGAGGTGTGCTCTGTGAGGGGGGTGTCCTCTGTGAGGGAGGTGTCCTCTGTGAGAGACAGGGAGCTGTTTTTTCTGCCTTTTTATTGTTGTAAACCTACTGTATGAATTGAAGTGTGTGTGATGTGTTGCATTGTTTATTTATTGCCAGTATTTGCAATTTTATGTCCGGATTTTTAAACTGTGTCTTTGTTCTATACCAGGGGTCACCAACCTTTTTGAAACCAAGAGCTACTTCTCCGGTACTGATTAATGCGAAGGGCTACCAGTTTGTTACACAATTACATAAATTGCCAGAAAAAGCCAATTTGCTCAATTTACTTTTAACTCTGTTCATATTAATAATTAATGATATTTATCTTTGTGGAAACACTGATCATCTTAACGATTTCTCACAATAAATATATATAGAAACAGATAAATATCAATATGCAACATTTTTCAAATTGAACATTTTCAAACGATCACTTCTTGTGAAATCACAATATCCCATTTTAACCAACTAGCCACTAACATTTTTTTAACAAATCATGAATAATGTTTATTTGTTTATACAAATAATAACTCATGTAAAATACAACAGTCAACTCTCGTCACACGTGATGGTGATCTCACAGGAGTTTAGAAACCAAAGCAGTCCCATTTACGCTGCTACTTTCTCCTCTTCAGAACAAAAACAACAGTGAAGCTGTTTGAGATCATTACATGTGTTTCTACTGTAGGTTTATGTGACAGTTCTAAACTCATCGTTTCAACTCATTTAACTGTGATGCTGTGAATAAAGACACAGTTCTTGTTGGAAACATAGTTATTATTAAAGTGTATTCAGCACAAACAGATAATCAATAAGTGGTAAATATCTGAGAAAAACACGAACTATAAGTGCAGTAGGAATGCAACAGACGCGATAAGCTACAACGCAAACAAGACAGGAACAGTGCAAAAGAAACAACTGCACAGTTTATAAGTCATATCAGGCTCTGCCATGAGACCAAACTACTTTTCCTTCGGTTCCTTCGAAGCACAAAGCGGTCTGCTCCGAAGTGCCTCGTCCGGGCTCCCTGCAGCCGCTCCATGCTTCCGTCCAAAACACACACACGAACCAATCACAGCGGAGCTCCTCTCACACACGGACCAATCACAGCGGAGCTTGTCTGCGGCGTTGGCCGCGTAGTATTCGAGGGTGCGTGGCAGGCTACGTAAGGGCCTTGATGTGATCCACGCGTTGCGCAAGTGACGTCACGTCACCTCCGTAAGCTCCGCGCAGCGCACTAGGCTTGAGTGCTACTATTTGAGCTATTTTTAGAACAGGCCAGCGGGCGACTCATCTGGTCCTTACGGGCGACCTGGTGCCCGCGGGCACCGCGTTGGTGACCCCTGTTCTATACATTACTATGTGTGATATGTGATGTTATTTGACCTCTTTTAATGGACAAATAAAGGTCTGTTAAAAATCAAATCCTTTCCTCTCTCCTCTCTCCCCTCCTCTCTATCCTGTCCCCTCTCCTCTCTCCTCTCCTCTCTCTCCTTTCCTCTCTCCTGTCCCCTCTCCTCTCCTCTATCTCCTCTCTCTCCTTTCCTCTCTCCTGTCCCCTCTCCTCTCTCCTCTCCTCTATCTCCTTTCCTCTCTCCTGTCCCCTCTTCTCTCCTCTCTCCTCTCTCCCCTCCTCTCTCTCCTTTCCTCTCCTGTCTTCTCTCTCCTCTCTCTCTGCTTCTTTGTTATGCTAAAGTTTGAGATTTTACACTTGCTTCCTTATTATGCTAACGTTAGAGAGTGAGGAGTTTGATTATGGAATTGGTAGAGAAACAAATTAAAAGATCGTTCGAGCGATCGAACGTATTTTGTTATTGGCAGTGAATTTGAAAGAATTTGCTCAAGGAGGGTTGGAACTTTATGTGTTTGGCAGTAAAATAGATCTGCCTTTTCAAAACACTACATGGTGAAGGGGAAACTGTAAAGCTTTCCAAAAATGTTCCAATGGCACTTTGCAAATTGGACTATTTAAGCCAGGGGTGTTTAAACTTTTTTAGTAAGAGAGCCACTTTGGTTCACCAGGGTCTGACAACATGGGTAAACTGGATTAAGGCTGTTCTGAGCTTTATGATTAGGCGTAAAATGTCTATATTGGTTCATGTTTGACAGAGCTGAAGCTGGCTGAATGACAAAGGCTTACTCACTATAAGGACCATACAAAAAAAAAGAAATAAAAACTAAAATTTAAGGGGGTCAACGGATTTCAGAGAAAAGACCACTTTTGGGTTAGCAAGGCAGAGGGCCATATCTAATGAAACAGAGGGCCGCAATTGGCCCCCGGACCTTAGTTTGGACATGCCTGATTTAAGCGTTGGACATTTCGGACATTTATCATAAACAAGGAAATGCCAACAATTACAACATCACCAATAGTTTTTCAATACATTTCTAGTATGTCCATTGTAATGTGTGTGTGCCTCCTGCGTGTGGAAGCCTGATCCTGTCAGATCTGTCAGACGCTAAGCAGGTCAGGGTCTGATAAGCACTGTAATGAGAGACCTCCAGTAACACCAGGTGCCACTGTCAGGCAGCTGCAAAAGTGTCAAGCTGCTGTTGTTTCCTTAAGCAAGACACTGGACTCACATGAGTGCAACACGCAGCACAGAGGGAAAATGTCTTATAGTTGCCAAGTAAGTATAGACTTAAAAACTTTTTTAAAACAGTAGACAGAGCTGGAGTGCTTCTTGGATGTGAAAAAGTTACGAACATCTTAAAAAGCCTTTATTGAACAAGGCAAAAATACGGCATATTGTTTACATCCTTTGACATGTTAAAGACTTCTGAAGATTGTTCTAACTTTTGAATGCCTTCAGTCTCAGTCTAAAACACATATTTAGTTCTGTAGGCTGATAAACATTTCTTTACAAAGCAAGAGGCATTCAAGGGGCTTTATACAATAGCATAAACAACTTATAGAACAGACAACGTACATACATAATATACTAAAACAAGCTAAATAACAATGCTTTAATAGAAGACTTTTGTCATTCATTCACCTTTAAAAGTCACAACTAGAACGTTCCCTTGGAGAGTGCACACGCCCTCAAGGCCACAGACAGTCTCAAAATGTGAAACGATCCATCACGACCCATCTTGTGTGTACTTCGTGTTTTACTATTTTTACTTTTAAACCTTGTTTGCACCGTGAACCAAAGCAAATATCTAGTTTGTGACTTGCTGTTTCTTACAATGACAATACAAACCATTTTTATTCTGATCCAGCCACTAACTTCAGCTCAATCTGTCCAGTTGCTATTGCGAACAAAGAGACACATACACACTGAGGTGATCACATTACCCCTTGGCTATAGGTATCCATGTGGTGCCAGCATCTGTTTGTTTATGGCAACACAGAGAGAAACCTCCTGGCAGTAAGAGTGCACAGGGCTTGACCTTGATTTCACACAAGCAGCCACTCTCCTCCTGTCTTAGCATGTCCCTCTCTGACTAATTGGATTAATGTTGAGGCTTTAATTAGAACGATCAGGTGGTCCAAACAGAAGGCAGGAACACGGATTAAACGATAGGCACAATGCTATTACTCCGCTATAGTCCATTTCATGATATTATAGTCTGTTTGCAAATGAGGTCTCCCTTTTACTTAAAAAATATTTAAAAAAATAATAATAATATATGTCGTACAGATCCTCCCTGTACCTATTTAGTTGTGTTATGTTTTTCATTCCCTGGTTGCCCATGTGTGTGGGTACAGTGCTCTATAGCAAAGGATGTAATATGAATAAATAAATATTCTTTGTTTCGTAGTCGTTATAGAGAGGAGTACAGGCTGCATGACCACAGAAAATACAGAGTTTGCCATATATAAACTCAGATACAAGAAAAACTTCAGCAATATATGTAAAATCTATGTAAATATATGAAATCTCCCCACTGTGGGACTAATAAAGGCATTCATTCATTCATTTATATAGCAAAAAATACATAGTGAATTCAATTTGTGAACTGCAAGCCATTCTTTACCACAACACACAAAGCACAATGCCATGTTATTTTCCATTACTGTAAAGCAGAGGGTAAATCCAACAGAAAATCCTTATATTGATTTGGTTGTACACAGCTGGAGTGTGCTCTGGGCTTATTAAGTGGAGGGGGAAGCCACACAGCTCATTCAGTGTACTAGGGAAACCCCATACAATAGCATGTAGTCACTTATAGTCACGGGAAAAATGTTCAATATTTATAGTGTAAAAACGCTAAACCATCCAGGAAATAGCGTCTGGATTGCGCGCATGGACGTGGTGACATCACACTTATTACAGCAGCGAGAAAGCCAAGCCAGACGCCGTATTGTGTTGTATTGTATTGTAATGACGAAATTGACGTAACTGTGAGCAAATAATACGCTCTAGTAGACATAATGGAAAAAATAGTAGATTTGTATTAGATGTTTTGCCAAAAAATAAGCAGATGTTTTTGATATTTTTGCATAGATGGTTTATTCTAAGCATACACCTGCGCGCACGGGCCAAACCATCCACATATATAAATATGTCTTACCATAAAAGGAATTCCGTGTTATTTGTCCTCCCATCGCTTATTCCTTCAGTGTGTCCGCTTGCTGAGGTGGTTTTATTGGAGTGATGTACAGCCTTGCAGCCGCTGTGGCATGGTTGCACGCTCGCATCCGCCGCTGTAGTCTCTCTTTCGCTCCTCTCCACCGCGAATGGATGCACACGCACGCACACACGCACGCACACACGCACGCACACACGCACACACGACACAACACACTGGCAGACCCACGCCTCCTTGTGTGAGCAGGGCTGTTGGATTGTGAGCTACTCCCCCCACCATTCACAGGGCTCAGTCCCCGCCTCGGCTTCTATTCGCTTGCGTTTGGATTTGCATAAGAGGAGGAGACACACACACGCTCATAGCCCTGTGGAGGAGGAGGAGGAGGAGGAGGAGGAGCCTGGGCGATGAGAGAGGCGACTGTAGAGCCATGGCCGTGCGTAATCTGGCATTACGCACGGCCATGGCGGCTCCACGGTCTATGATAATAATGCAGGCGTGAACAGGGGGACCAAGTCTTGAGTGTTGGACATTTGTGGTGAATTATAATCACTCCGTACACATTGCCTATAAACTACTACTATAGCCACAGCTGCCCTGGGGCACACTGACAAAAGCGAGGAGACCAGTATGTGCCATCAGACCCTCCGACCACCACCAGCCATTCACACACAACATCAGTGTTATTCTAGGCAATGTGGGTGAAGTGTCTTGCCTAAGGACACAATGGCACTTTACAGCCGCAGCCGCCGCCCCACTGTGGCACCTGGTGTTTGCAGCCTGGAGCACAGGGACAGGCTGTTTGCAGCCTGTCCCTGTGCTCCTCAGAGTCTGAGTTCAAAATGATAACAATAATAATACAATATTTTATTAAAAAGCACCTTTCAAAACACACAAGGACACTGTACAAGACATAATAAAAACATTTGAAAAATCATAGGGCACTAACATGTCACGGATGTAGTTTGATTGCGAGGCCATAAATATGTCACGTTGAATTATCATAAATTTACAAAATAGGAAAGGAGAGGGCTCTATACTACTGCTGCCTCTACAGAAATATATTGTTTAGTGGTCCATACATGGTGATGTTTAGTTATTACTTTAAAGGCGCTATACCCGTTTCTGCAAGGTTTGAATGTTTAGCACCGCCCCCAACTTGCTCAATGGCTTCTCATTTCCCCTACGCTCTCATAACACAGAGCCATCTAGCTCAATTTGCGATCTGACATGTATGCTAACATTAGCATTATCACAACTTCTTGTAAGCTGTACAACAATCACTGATGAAATGGTACTAAAGCAACGCACTGCTAACACAATAGACAAGTAAAAGAATACCGCTAGTTTCGCATCTGAATGTATTCATTTAAACATTAGATTATATTCGAAAATTGAATTATAATTTATTATACAGCTCCTCACAGCAGCAGTAGAACACTCCATTGACTTGAATGTAATTCTACCAATAATTTTTTCTTGAAAACAGAACTCTCAAACCAATAATGACCGCTGCCCTTTGGCAATCTCTGTTTGTAATTCAGGTGTGTAAAATACTAACATTACTCTGCAAGTACAACAAGCCTTGAGCGCCTGTCACTACACTGTCAGCTTCTCTGCACACAGTTGTCTGTGCAGAGAAGCTAGCGGAGCTAGCCGAGTTAGCCACGCTCAATAAACAAATACATATCAATCAATCAACACCATTAAATGTTGATCGGACAGTACAGTAAACATATACATCCTTAACACACATGCACGGACGTTTTCAGAATTTGGTGTTAAGGTTTTCATGACAAAATTACTATTTTAATGTGACAAAAAGCGATCGTGAAAAACCCGGAAGTAACCATTAACATGAAACGAACATTTTAGGACACATTTGAGGAGGATCTGATGGATTTAGGTTCGGTATATAAATGGGTAACTCACCGCTGATGTTCAGAATTCTTTGTTCAGTTTTCATGTAGTTCCAGGGAGTTTTTGAACTAGCTAGCTTAGTTAAAAAACTAAAAAACTGGATGGAACTTATTGAGAAAAGTCCCACTGTGGTGATGTGGAGGAGGAGGGTTGATGCTCAAGCTGAAAGTGTTATGCAGCAAAAGGCTTGTTTAAATGAGCCTTCTAAGTTAACAGCAAATAAAGGATCTGGTGTGTGAGGGGAAAAGACTGAAGACTGATTTCCAACAAACATGAAGAAAATAATGTATCTCTTGTTTCGTGTCTCGTTCTCTCCATGTGCTCCAGGCCCCTGGCAGAGGGACCCGGTGACCCCTCAGTGTGGACACCTACAGTGCCTTGCGAAAGTATTCGGCCCCCTTGAACCTTTCAACATTTTGCCACATTTCAGGCTTCAAACATAAAGATATAAAATTTTAATTTTTTGTCATGAATCAACAACAAGTGGGACACAATCGTGAAGTGGAACGAAATTTATTGGATAATTTAAACTTTAAAAAAAAATAAAAAACTGAAAAATGGGGTGTGCAATATTATTCGGCCCCTTTATTTTCAGTGCAGCAAACTCACTCCAGAAGTTCAGTGAGGATCTTTGAATGATCCAATGTTGTCCTAAATGACTGACGATGATAAATAGAATGCACCTGTGTGTAATCAAGTCTCCGTATAAATGCACCTGCTCTTTGATAGTCTCAGGGTTCTGTTTAAAGCGCAGAGAGAACCATGAAGACAAAGGAACACACCAGGCAGGTCCGAGATACTGTTGTGGAGAAGTTTAAAGCCGGATTTGGATACAAAAAGATTTCCCAAGCTTTAAACATCTCAAGGAGCACTGTGCAAGCAATTATATTGAAATGGAAGGAGTATCAGACCACTGCAAATCTACCAAGACCCGGCCGTCCCTCCAAACTTTCATCTCAAACAAGGAGAAGACTGATCAGAGATGCAGCCAAGAGGCCCATGATCACTCTGGATGAACTGCAGATAACTACAGCTGAGGTGGGAGAGTCTGTCCATAGGACAACAATCAGTCGTGCACTGCACACATCTGGCCTTTATGGAAGAGTGGCCATTTCTCAAAGATATCCAATAAAAGTCTCTTAAAGTTTGCCACAAGCCACCTGGGAGACACACCAAACATGTGGAAGAAGGTACTCTGGTCAGATGAAACCAAAATCAAACTTTTTGGCCACAATGCAAAACGATATGTTTGGCGTAAAAGCAACACAGCTCATCACCCTGAACACACCATCCCCACCTCAGCTGTAGTTATCTGCAGTTCATCCAGAGTGATCATGGGCCTCTTGGCTGCATCTCTGATCAGTCTTCTCCTTGTTTGAGATGAAAGTTTGGAGGGACGGCCGGGTCTTGGTAGATTTGCAGTGGTCTGATACTCATTCCATTTCAATATAATTGCTTGCACAGTGCTCCTTGAGATGTTTAAAGCTTGGGAAATCTTTTTGTATCCAAATCCGGCTTTAAACTTCTCCACAACAGTATCTCGGACCTGCCTGGTGTGTTCCTTTGTCTTCATGGTTCTCTCTGCGCTTTAAACAGAACCCTGAGACTATCAAAGAGCAGGTGCATTTATACGGAGACTTGATTACACACAGGTACATTCTATTTATCATCATCAGTCATTTAGGACAACATTGGAATACTTTCGCAAGGCACTGTAACTGTTGTCAGGTTTTCACAGTTTATTCTGTTTACTCTGGGCCTGAGGCTGAACACAGACAGTTACACGGATGAGCAGTGTGTAAGCACTTCTGTCAGCGGAAATTGTAATGATTAATGGCTTTTACACAAGTTTTTATTTATTTTAACTGTGCAATCATACAGAATATTTGGGAAAAAACACCAAAAAGATGGTTGCCGTAAGTTGGAAGGCCCCTCACTCACTGTCTCACTGACAAAGGGCCATGACATTTGTGAACATACCGGGAGCTCTCCAAGGTTTGCATCCAACAATTTCAAGTCCAATTTCATTTCAAGTTTCGTTAAGTTTTAACTCCACTCAGAGAGACCCTGCTCTGGAAGTGGAATCAAACCCAAGATCTTCCGAAAAATAAGAGGAAAATCGCCAAAAAAGGCAAAGAAAAATTCTTGATGCCTTGCTGTCTATTGTTTGTTTTTTTTGTTTTATCTTTGCATTGTGTTTTTGTTTTTTTTCTTATGTCTTTAGTATATTTGTCCGTCTTAATTGTCGTTGTCCTTCGATTAAAAACAAAAAACATAAAAAACAGGACCTTCTAGCTGAGAAGTGAGAATGCTAACCACTCAGCCCACTGTACATACATTTTATCTATACAAACATGAATCAAATAAATAAGTTTACATACACAAAAACAAGTGCAAGAATCATCAGTGCATCATCAAACATGAGAAATTGTTTGAAATGTGTTTCCTGGAGGCGACGCAACAAGCTCCATCTCTCTCCATTCACATTAATAATAATAATAATAATTCGTTTTATTTCATGGCTCTTTTCAAGACACCCAAGGACGCCTTACAATAGATTAAAAAACATCACACACAACATTAAAAGTACACAATATAATACAACTTCAAAGAATCAGCCAGTTTAAAAAGGCAGGGTTTTTTTACAATATTTTTTTCTGTATTTCTTGTACACAAAACAAAAAGTTAACAGCAGATAACACACCAAAATAAAAAGGCTTATTTCATCCCATCCCTCACCCTACCCAAAAAAAACTCATGTATTCACTCATTCACACTATTCTCACAACTAAAATGGCCAGTTATGAGTGTACTTACCGTCAACCCTGACTAAGATCAGATAAGCTAAGATAAACTTTATTGATCTCACAATGGAGAAATGTGCAGATAAACAAACCATTATGTTATTCCAAATTCAAGCTACAAAATGATGCAGCTCCACTCGTGCCATACATCGTGCTTGTGTTTCCAGCGAACACACAAATGCCACAATAATATTTACACGTCTCCAATCGGCGTCAGCTCCTATGATTGCGAGCATGTTACCAAAACAAACCATCCCCGTCTCCCGGTGCCTGACATCTTAATCAAAATAAAAAA